AGCATTCTCTGAACAAGAATCTGTTAAATTCTCAAGATCATATACTGTTTATCAACTACTTATTATTCTGAGACTGATAATATATCAGAATGAACAATTGTAAGAATAAGTGCTCACAGGCGATTATTCGGGTATTTGCAGCTTGACATGATATATACTATTAACTACTAGAAGTATTCATGATAGAAAGATAAAATGTGAAAGTCAAATGTATAATAGCATTTAAGCTGAGTTATGAATAATATTCATACACTTTAGTCTATATAGTTGTGTGGTGTCAAGGGCTGCTAACTCTATTAATTATATAAGAGATAGCAATAGAAGTAAATAATCTGTGAGAAGTAGAATTTCTTACATATTTCTCTCTCTCTAAGACTTTGTCTGTGAAGTCTTTCACTAAGTGATTTCATAGAATCAGACTCAGCACTGCAGTGATACTCACTAAAAATTCTTTATATCTATAAAAAAATCTCAGTGAGGAAAAATCTCTTATTACTATAAAGAAAAAAGAGTCTATTACTCAGTTTCTTATTTTATGAGATTCTTTATAATCTGTAGATCTTTCTCTGACTATTATACAGATTCATCTCACATCTTTTATACAGAAGAGTTTCAGTTGACTCTCAATCATTTTCATAAGATTCTTATATAATTGTCACACAGATTCATTTCATATCTTTCAATCTAAAGAGTTTCAGTTAATCTTTAATTATTTTTTTATAAAATTGTTATGTAACTGTTACACAGATTTATTCTGCAGATGAATCACTTTCTGTGAGATCATTCTCATCAAAGAGAAGTATTTATGAGTGAATCTTTTACTTATTCTTATCAATTATTATTCTTTAACACTGTAGAGTTGTAAGAAATTTTTCATTCTTCTATTAACTCTGTAGAATTATAGAATTAAGATATCTATAGTCTGTAATCACTCTTTATAGTTATATAGAAAGATTCAGATCTGTGATTTATAATCACTCTTTGTTTACTAGAGTGATCTGACTATTTTATGAAATCACTTATAGTGTAAACAAATCTCTCTAGAGTAGTATAAATATCTCAGATCTATCTATAAAATGTTATCTTCTTTTCTCTTTTTCTGTAACAGCTCTTATTCTTATAAACTATAAGTATCTTCACTTATCTGTGAAGTGTTTCTATTCAGATAATGAAGAGAGAGTATTTCTAATAATATCTGTATATTAATTCAAGAACTTCTCAAGAATAAAAAGATTTTCAATTTTAATATCTTTATAAACAATGTCTGATCATTACTGAGCTTCTTGTGAATATTCTTATAACTTCTCTAATTACTTTTTATCAGCTGATGAAGTAGAGATATTATTATCTATAATAGTATCTTCACTCTTCTCAGACTTAACACACTGCATTTAATCTTCAGATCAGTGACTAACTCTGTATCTCTTTCAGATCAGTCTCTGACTCTCAGCAGTATAGTTCTGCTCTTTGCTATAAGTCTCTTTATAAGTAATTCTTACAGACCTTAGCTGACAGTTTCTGCAAAGCTCTCAATGCTGTCAGTTTTCTCTGTGATCTCATAGATCTATGATCACTCTCTTTCTACCTTCACAATCTCTGATCAGATATATACAAATATGTCTAGATTTTCTATTAACAGTTCTTACACTGCAGCACATTTCTACAATTCTGATATTAATAGAAGATAAGTCTTCAGATATCTGTAAAATTCAGATAATCAAGATAATATAAATACTATGAATTCATAATTAGACTAGCCGGCGGGATCATGAATTTCACATTTGGTCTCATTTAGTCTGGTCTCATACATTTCTTGATGTGAGTCTCACCAGAACTAAGAATTAAAAAAATCCTGAAAATGAATCATTTCTGAGAGAAATGACATGAAAAATGACCAGATTTAATGCAAGAACAGTGAAATGAGAGTAATTTCTCAGAATAAACTGTGAAAGATGATCATTCTTTCAAAATCAGAATGAGACTGAGACTGAAGATTAAATTCAGTTCTATTCAGTTCATTCAGTGATTGCTTATATAATCAGAATTTGATAATGATTATTGATAATACTTATGAAACAACTAAATACATTCTTGTGTAAGTTTATTCTTCACTTTCTTATGAAAACTATACTTCTCTGATATACTGTGATCAGAGGTATTAAACTGTCTGATAATTTCATGTTTTATAATTATAAGTTTCTTGATTATTTCTGATTATAATTATCTTTAGTGATAGTGATAAATATCTTAGCTTGAGTTAAACTGTCACTTCATTCTCATCTCTGCTAATGAAAGTGTCAGAATATCACATATCATCAGTGTAACAGTTGAATATATACTCTCAACAATTTCTCATAACTATAGAATTGATTTGATGTGTAAATTTATCATATTATCTTGAAGATAGCAGTCAAAGTCAGTTTTATAAGTATGTAGTTTTGCCTGATTTTCAGTTGTAATTAATATATGCAAGTTCTGTTTCAAAGTTAGTATTATAGTTCTATGTGATATAAAGTATTATCAAAGATTGTTACTTATTAGAGAATTGTATTTCACTGTCTTTATATCTCTAACATCTGCTTATTCAAATCTCTGATAGTTAGCATTGTAGTAGTCTCAGACTAATTTAATATATAAGTCTCATTTCTCCTCTGTTCAATCTTGAGAAGTGTAGATATTAACTTAATAAGAGAGATCTAGTAAAGCTGCTATAGCATAGTACTCTGCAAAAGATTGTTCAGTTTTGCTGTAATAATATATCAGTTTATTTCTTACAGTAATAATAGCCTGCACTATAGCATCATTTCAGACTGAATTTCTTTTTAAGTGATTTAACTGCTTCTCAAGATAAGTAAATAAACTGTTATACACTTATCAGACTGACTGCAGCATTGATGTACAAGTGATTGAGACTGTCTTCATTATCTTATAAAACTGAAACAGTAAATCAATCACATATTTCAACTGAGTTTACTTTATATCAGAAAGTTTCAATATCTGAATCTTTTCTCAATCAGAGTGTTACACTCAATGATCAATTATCTGACACAATTGAAGAGTCTGAACAGTTATCTTATATATTGAACTTCACTGTGTTCTAATATTCTGTATCATATTCAGTGATATGACTGATTTATTTATTTATTGAATATCATGAAATTATTGTTATTATTTAGAGGAGATACAAATCACATTAACAATATTTCAAATCTGTGATATTTAAATTATTAGTCAATCTATTCAAAATTAACAGTAGTATTATCAAAAAGCATTATTAAAAAGTAATATTAAAAAGTGTTATTAAAAAATATTATCTTTTGTAAAATAAATATAAAAGTTACTTAAGTAATCACTTTTATCTCATTCTCATTTCAAGAACTAGCTATCTCATTATTCATTGTCTCAATGTTAAGATTCTTTATCAGTATTTATATTATAAGTTGAATCACATGAGTAATGCAGAGAATATAATCTTGTTTATTATTTCAGAAATACAAAGCCAATTTTTGCTTCAAGCTCTTTATCATAGTATAGTTATTCACAGCATTATTAGTTATAATTGTAAGAAGATTGAGACTAATATCTTAATAGTTGTTTTTAATCACTGTCATTAATATCTCTGTTATATAATTCTCAGTATGACTACTGATTAATAATTCAAATTCAATTAATGTCTCTTAATAAGTTCAGTTCTTATCAATGTAATAACATGTAACTCTTATAAATGTAAGATTGTTTGTACTAGTTTATACATTCACTGTGAGAGATACTCTTCAATGATTCTTTAACTCTGATTCTAGATGTTGTATATTAACTTTGTAGTATGTCTCAAGATTGAACTGAAGACATGATTAATATGAAATATGAAGATTTGAATTAAGCATTTGAAGAAGTATTCAGAATTTGAGGTTTTCAATTAATTAAAGAGAAAGATTCAGAAATATATATATATAAAGTAATTATTTATGAAAGTTATCAGATTAGAGTTGTGAAATCAGAGTACTGATATATGATTATTTTCACATTATTTTCTTCAAATTAGAAAGTTAGTATTACTAAAAATTATTATCTGATAGAGTAACTTATCAGCTCAGTAGTAATTTTCTGATTATTTTTCTTTTATTATCTATATTCTAATAACTTCAGATATTGAGAAATTTCATCAGAGTTATAATCAGTTTATAATGAATATTTCTGAATGAAGTTACAGTGATTATAGCAGAGAGATAACTCTTCAGTAATCTGTAATATAATCTGTTGATAATTAATTCATAGTTCATCTCAATATTTCTGATGAGTTTTTCATAAATTTCATGATCTTAAATCAGATGTGAAGAATGAAGTAATTATTCATTATAATTGAAAGAGAGCATTCTGTGTTGAATTGTAAATAATATAGACTTTGTGATTCACAGTGATTTCTTGAAGAGTTTATGAATCTTCAATAAAAGTGAAAGAAGTGAAAGAAGTGAATTCAGAAGATATAATAAAGATTTAAGAAAGATGATAATTTATTTTTAATAACTTATCAC